AATCAAACAAAAGTAGAACAAAATTTTAGCACAAGGGTAGCCTGGCATAGAATGATTTATTTCAGATATATTTACCAAATTTCTGCATCTCATAAACTTTCCAAGATAAAATCCTAATATTAAATTTACAATCTAGTCTGACACCAGGAGCAAGCAGAAAGCCTGAACAACTGACTGAAGACCATGCCGACAAAGAAGTATGCATCTGGTTTATGAAAAACCCGCATACCAGCAGCAAAATGGGCCAGACTGGTACTAGTAACTGTTCTAACACGTAACAGCAAATCCTCCACGTAAGCCTCGCCTATGCTAAATCTAAATATAGAAAATGCCACAACAGTACTTTGCACTTTCCTACTTTCTTTGACACTAATTTAGTCTCACAAAGCCCAGTAACTTAGATCATAGTCATGGCAGTCAACACCTACCCACCACACTCTATCCCCAGGCTGCTACCAGAGGAACTAGAGACCCAGGAGCTTCTGAAATCCTGAATTGATGAAGGCTCACGATTCCAAGACTCCAACTACTACTATAAAGTAGATATGACAAATGTAGACTGATAATGAAGCTGAAAATAAACAGCATGCTATATGAGGGCTGAAGAGGTCTTGACAAGTCCAGAGACAAAATGGAGAAGGTAAAGTTCAGGGAGGTAAGGTGACATATCCAATCTCAATAAAAAAAAAAAACACAAAGAGAATGTGCAGGACCCAATCTGTCAGCATGAAATTTGACAGTGTTTTCCCTTTCCTTTTGGTGCTGGTACTGGTACTTGAACTCAAGGCTTGAGCTTTTTTTCCTCAATGCTAGTACTCTACCACTTGAGCTAGAGTTCCATTCCAGCTTTTTTAGTAGTTAATTGGAGCTAAGAGCCTCATGGCCTTTCCTGCCTGGGCTGGCTTCAAATGGTGATACTCAGATCTCAGCTTCCTGATTAGCTAGGCTTACAGGTATAAGCCTCCAGCACCTGGCTACTGACAAGGTTTTATAAACAAAAGAACCACTGAAGACATAATTTATATGAGCAAAGGTTCCTGATGATTCCTCACTAGTACCAACCATGCTGTTCACACTACCAACTACGGTGTTCACTCTAAAAGAGCCACCAGCCACACTGTTCACACTAAAAGAGACACCAACAATAGTGTTCATTGTCCAGCTAGATAAACTCCCAGAGGCGGGCACTGGTGGTGGCTCATACCTGTAATCCTAGCTACTCAGGAGGCTGAGATCTGAGGATTGTGATTCAAAGCCAGCCTGGACAGGAAAGAAAGTCCATGAGACTCTAATCTGTAATTAACCACCAGAAAACTGGAAGTGGCATTGTGGCTCAAGTGGTAGAGTGCCTGCCTTGAGCTGAAGAGTTCAGGGACAGTACCCAGGCCCAGAGTTTAAGCCCCACAGCTAACACACACACACACACACACACACACACACACACACACACA